CTGCTCACAGGTCATCATTACCAAGTGCCTTGCCAGCTGGCATAGGCGTTCATGCATCGCCACAGATCTCGGTCTTTGGTGTTCTTGATCAATTCTACTGATTACATACCTTCAATCCACTGTCTTAAACCATCCACCATAATTTCTCTTGGTCTGCCTCTGCCTCTTCTAACAGTGATCTCTCCAATCGTCACAATATTTTCCAGTGCTCTTTTTTTCACTGTATGACCAAATAACTTGGTTTGTCTCCTCATTGTTGTAAATAATATTCTACTTTTATTAGACATTTCCACGCATTCAATGTTGGGTTTTCCTGCAGTACAATGTATCTTCCTAATTTGTTTGCTCACATTGCAAGATTCACTACCATACAACAGAACAGGCTCGATAAAACACACAGATAAGTCAGTAAAATGAATGTACACGCAAAACTCAGACTCTTTCACAAAGCCAAAGTCCAGGTATACAAACAAACAGGCCTCTTCCTCAGAACATACAGCCGGTGGAGAAAGAAGAAGAAGAAGCAGTCTGGAGAAATACGGTAAATTTTGTCTGACTGAACGAAGACACCTTGTGTATCTTGAAAATAGTTATGCACAAAAACATTTATTAACCACTTCAGAAAAAGAGAAGAAACTTTCTATGTGCTCATAAGGGAAAAACTAAGGTGCGCCCTTACAGCAGGAAAGGTAAACGTCAAGAAAGGCAGAGGGAGTTCAGTAAAGAAGACGTTGAACGTTTCTGGAATTACCGCATAGTAGAATATCTGTGTGTATGTATGTCATTACACAAGAGAGAAGGCTAAAGATACACATGATAATTAAAGTCGTATAAGTCGATTATACGTTTTTGTTTTTTGTTTTGTTGTTGTTGTATGAAAATGATTACTATTATAGTTTTGTTTTATTACCATGATCTGTACTAATATTTTTCTCATGCCTAATTAGGTAGGTAACTGGTCAGAAGAAACTGGGATCGTAGCAGATGAACCTTTGTACGACCCGAGCTTCATAGACTCGCGTCTTTCTGTGGTTGTGATCGTGGTAAGTCTTCAAAGAGAAGCGAAGATTCACTGTAGTAGGCTGGTCATAAATGGCAGTTATAGGGTTCAGATTATACAGTAAATGTTACAAACAAGCATAATGCTTTACCTGAGCTTGCCAGACTACCAACAAATGCATATCTTTTCTCCTGGGTATGTCGGTGTGTTGGGAAATGAACCGGTGGAAATACTGGCTTGCTCTGCACAGCTTGATGGAATATTGATGCATGATAAGGCAGACGTGGTTAGGGCCCTGGTGGAGAGCGTCTACAATACGGAGGAGCAGACAGATCACCAGAGTCTGGTGAAAGTGATGCAGCGAGGAGTGAAAAGGGGTTCTGGCCAATGCAGAGGAAAGGAAAGACGGACGTATAATCAGAATGCTACTGACACCATTGGTATTGGAACTCTGGCTGTTGAAGATGGAGATGGAGCGCTTATGGAAATGCCCCGAGTGTTGTAATATCGATTCTTGAATGAGCTCATCTCAACTCAACACAGAATACCAGTATAAGAATCTACTTGAAACCAAGAATGGTGAGACGATCACCGTCAAGAAATAAGTTTTTCATCTGTTGTTGCCAGTTCGACGTCACTCTGTTAGATGAAATCCGACATTCAACTGACTAGCAAGATAGAGTGGGTCCGGCAACAACATTTGCCATCAGTAAAAAGTATAACGTCAATCTTTAGCAGGCACCGATAACAAATGTTTCGTAATTTCAATA